CCTTACTATAAAAATGCAACACAGGCAATTGGACACTAAGTAGTGTTCAACCAATCAGAGGTGCCTGCAGTGGATATGCTAAGAGATCAATATATTGTATACAGGTCGGTTTGAATGAATCGCTCTAAATATGTAGGCTATCTATTCAATTTGACTGTACAAGCCAAACTGAGCCAACATCCTACTAAACTCTACTTGTAATACCCCAAAATGCACAAATTGTAGTATTACTGCAATGATTTTTACAAATTTAAGCATTTGTAAAGTGTGATAAGAGAGTTCCACTCTTTCCTAAAGCTGGTAGAGGGTTATTTATTGTATATTTTTATATGTCTCAGGGGATCCTTGTTCTGATGCTCTACCAACCAAGGAGCGCTCGAAAAGGGGTCCGAAAAAGGTGTAAGACCCCTGATGTAAAATATTGTAGGGCACTGTTAAAGCCAGATGCTAAATCACTGAAGTGTGTGTGTGTGTGTGTGTGTGTGTGTGTGTGTGTGTGTGTGTGTGTGTGTGTGTGTGTGTGTGCGGAAAAAAAAAACAGAGTAAAAAAAAAAACAAAATATAAAATGGGTTGCAGTATCTTTAAATATAACAGAACTAAGAAAAAATCAAATTAGACCTCGGTAGATGGTAATAGCTTTCGGACTTTATGCTCATGAAGTAGTTAAAAATGAAACAACGTGAATGACATGAAACATGTTTATAATAAAAAGAGTTTGGGGTCTATTGATCTGTGGTTTCTGCATTTTTCTTCTATACTTTTTCTAAACATACTTTTGCAGTGTGGAGTATGTATAGAGGAAGTATGTTGTTCATAAAAAAAAAAATATATATAATTCCCTAAGTGCTTTGCAATTGTCTTTTACCTTTTATTTGGACACTCAACTGTCAACTCAATCAATATCAATATGCATTTGTGAGAAAATATTGATTTAATTACTGAGTTAGAAATTTGAACGGAGTCCAGGGAATAATATGACTGACACGTAGCTCCCTATAGACCTTATGTAGCTCCGCCCCTTTTCAGTGCTGTGTTAAGGCTGATTTATACTTCTGCGTCGGACCTACGCCGGAGCCTCTACGCTATAGACTATGCGTTGGTTTTCATTTATACTTCTGCGTCGTTGTCCGCGTTGACGCGCAATTACACATGCAGAGGGAGCATGTGAAACCCGGGGAGCGGTTCTAGCAGGCCAATCACAGCGCTTGCGGTACGCGTAGAATTGATGCGTTGTTACATTTTTGGAGAGGTGCACGTCAGGGTACGCCAAAGGGTACGCGCGCTACACACAGCATACGACGTAGCTACGGCGTGAGTTAGACGCATAAGTATAAATTGGGCTTTAGTTGGGTTCTGTCTTCTGCTTGTATTTCCACAGCAGGAAGGTAAGATCTTATGGATTTATGAATGAACCCCTCGTTTAAAAATCTTCCTTACTGACATTGACAACTGCTTCAAACATTACTCGTCAATAACTCTACAATAAGTAAATCCACTTGACCAGCTAATTACTCTTCGTCAGTGATGCCATATAAATATATATTTGTATACAGAGCTACCACAAAAACGGAAGTTCAAACACAAAATTCTCAAGATGGCTGCATGCTTGTTTCTCTGGTACATAAGGTCTATAGAAGCATACAGTGCCCGAACACAACTGCCAAGAGATTTCCTGTCGAAAGAAAAGAGACCTTTGAATCTCAGTGTTCTTACCGTATCCGCCGATTCTCTATTTCTTTTTTCTTTTTTCCCTGCGGTTTTCCATTTCTCTTGCCTCTCAAGTCTTTTAAGGGGAGATCTCTCTCTCATTTTGTCCTCACACAAAATAGTTTGAGGCAACCTGACCTTGACCCACCAGCATCTGTCATTCATCCTGTCAGAAAGTCCCTCTGAGGTAAAACACACAGGGAGACAAAAGGCCAGCACACACCTCTTCCCTCGGGATTGTGTGGTCTTCCGGTATACAGTATGTACTACTGATATAATATGTTTCAAACACAGGCAGAATTAAATGTAAGAGTACTGAATAATGAATTCAATTACATCTGACAAGGCTAATGAGAGCTTGGTCTTTAAGGACCTATTTGACAGGATGATGGGTACAATAGAGATAGGCCTACGTACAATTCTGCAATGCACTGACGATATACTGAGCTTACAAGCTTATCCTGATTTTGTCTGTTTTTTAAAGATCTTTCCTAGAAATACTTAGAAGTCTTTACATAGTGTTTTAAAGGTACAATATGTAAGAATTGTGTAATAAATTATCCAAAAATCACTTGTAGAGTGTGATATATTTCCTGCAGTTGTGTACTTACAATATCTCAAAAGTTCCCAAATATTTTTAATTTCAGAGAAATTCCAATTTTAAATAATGGGCCGTCCCGAACTCCCTATTCACATGTTGCCTGTCAATGACATAATATCCGCGTTATCCCTGGTTTCCGCTCGTACTGCCATAGTAACCATGGCGTCAGATGTGGACAACAGCGTTACGTCTAGCGGCACGCTCACGCTGTTGTTGTTGTTTCGTTCAAGCATTATGGACCATGGCAAGCAGAGTTTGTGACAAAAGGAGAACTAAAACGAGGATCAATATCAGCGTGGCGTTTTCGAGATGCCGAGAGCGCCACGTCCGTGACAAACTTCGACTTAACAGAGCTCTTGCATGTACTTTATTAGACAGGTGAGCAAATGTACATAAAACGAATCACTGTTATAGTTCAACGTGATGAAATGTTAGAATATGATCTGTATGTTATTCTAATGTTGATCTAGCTTACTGCTAGTCTCATACAGCCAACAAACTAACACATAGAATAACATTATGGGCTCTATCTTGCACCCGGCGCAAATTACTTTGTACACTGACGCATGTATCATTCCTATTTTGCACCTGCACAAAGCGGACTTTTCCCTCCACAGACGCACGTAGGTTAACTAAGAAATAATACACTTGCGCTCCCCGGGAGCGCAAAGAGGAGGCGTGTTCCGGCGCAAACTTTCCCTCATGCTATTTTGCTGTTCTGTAAAACAATTGCGCCACTGACCAGAAAAAAATAGTCTAAAGTCAGTGGCGCGTTGCGCGTTGTTCATTATGCTATTTTAAGGGCGCATGCTTGGCCATAATCAATGTAGCGTGTGCACAACGCGCATACACTTTGATTCTCTCATCTAAGCAGCAGTTTTAATTTTTTGCAAATCATACATTATTACGATAGATAGATAGATAGATAGATAGATAGATAGATAGATAGATAGATAGATAGATAGATAGATAGATAGACAATTTATTATAAAAGCATACATGTAGCTTACACATTTACCCAAATTATCATACGCCTGTTTAACAGAAGTTAATTTGGGTGGGTTTCTCCATTCCCAATGTCACTTCTCTGTGTTTTACGGCCCTGACGAGAACGTTGCTCTCCTCGGCTGTGAACCGCTCCTGGCGCGCGCCTGGCAAATCCGCCGTTATAATAGGAATCCGCTTTAGAACAAGCGCGCCTGCTCTTAAAGGGAATGTGAGATGACGCTCTGATTGGTTTATTTCACGTTACGCCCAAACCACACCTATGAATAATGAAGCAACTACAGACCAACCCCTTTTAGATTTGCGCCTGGCGCAAGAGGCATTTATCCCGCCGGGAAAATAACAACAGCGCTGGGATCCGCCCACAAAGTTACTTGCGCTTTGACACTTGCGTTTCAGATCGTTAAAATAGGGCCTTAAAACTTTCACCACACTCAAATGCAGTTTAGTGTGATAGTTTAGACTAAGTGAAACAGCGCTGCGTTACCTCACAAGTTTCATTCGTCTAATAAACTGACCTGTGTGAGTATTAATACAGCACTTGTGGGTAGTTCAGTAGAATGAAATGTCTTTATGTGATGATATCTGTCTCTCATTAGCAATCACGCCCTACTTTATCCCAATAGATGTTAAAAACATCAATGTATTCACTCATCCATAAACATTATTTGATCCATCAGCTTGACGACAAGTTCCATAATTCCGCTGGAATTTTGCGTCATCAACCTACGCCTTTGTTATTGTAAGAGGTAAGCGACCCCTAGAGGCGAAAAAATTACATATTGTAGCTTTAACTAGTTTTGCTGTTATTTTGTTTGTTTTGAAGATAACTTTCTCTAAATTGCAGATTTGGGTTTGTTTCAAGGACACTAAGCCAAATGTGTTACGTAAAATACTGGGCATTGTATAACTTTGTTAACTGATACATACAATTAGCAAGTCTCAGTCAGTGAATACTCACTGACAGTGTTTTCTTCTCTCCCACCCTTGATGTTTACATGTTACGTGATACGGCCAAGCATGCACAATGGATTCATAATTGAGGCATTGAGAGATGTGATAACAAGCTTTTATGAGCTAATAAAAGCCGCTCCTTAACCTTGCGTCTCATTGAAGCAAGATTGCAAGCACATTCTCCAGGATTTATTTTCTCTTTCCACCTCTCTAACAGTCTTCTTCTGTTGGGACGTGACCCAAAAATAAGTCACAAGTCTGGAGTGATAGTGTTGAGGGCAGTAGGGAAGAGCAATCATAAATGCAATTAATGAAATGCAACTATACTGTATAATCATGCTTAGAATAGGAAAATTAGAGGCTATTCACATATTTTGTTGTTGACACAAAAGACTATACGTCCAATTGATCTCTGCGATACTTCATTTTGAGGGAAATTCATCTGGCACATGGTTGAAGCTAGCCAAATTAGCCAGATGCTAACATGGACAGGTTACGTGACATCCTCTCATCCTTGAAACCCATGAACAAGACTATGCAATGTTATTTGCTGTGAATTAATGGCTTCTGAAAGCATGAAACCATCACAATTTTATTTACAATTAGACTAGACAGTTAAAAGCTATACATTTTCCTGTTCAGCCTGTGTCATGTTAATCATATACTGTATGTTGCTGAGCATTTGCAGTTGATCAGTTTAAATTTTGTTGTATGACATGCTTTGAAAATTACCTGTGTTGTAGTGCTTGGTGCAGTATCTTAAATCAGACTCATCCTTGAGGATGAACTGTGGGAGGGTCAGTCCGTCGGCCACCTGCACAGGTCCCTTCTCTTGCCACTCAAAGATCAGGTCATTCATTGTGTATCCAACTAGGAGAAATACCAAGAGATAACTTTTAGCACATTTTGAGCCACATGGACCTTGAATGCAACTTCTAAAACACCAAAAATAAATATTCTTACATTTGATAATAAAGTTCTATGATTATTGTCGGGACAAAATGATCAGTGCCCTAGTTGCCTAGCTCTCGCCTTTTGGTGAATTTTGCCGTTTTGAAGCAAAATAACTTGCGGCGAACTCAGCTTCGCACTAGGGAATCTGTGTCTCAGGTGCGGTGAGTATTCGAAGGACTAGAGCAACATGACATCATGACTTTGCGTAAACATACACGCCACTTTCAATTCAAGTGGCGTGTTATCTATACGCATTTTGAGCTATCCGCGTGTATGTCCACGCCAAAATCTTTTGCGTGTATGTCTACGCCATTAAATGTCCGAGTGATTCCGCGTGTATGCGTACGCCGTTAAATCTCCGAGCGAAACGAAGCAAAATCTATATCTACATCTGTGGAGCGATATTTCTTTTCCTAGGATGGTAGGAGAAGACTCATAAATGGTATTAACCCCAGTGACGGGTAGGTTTAGGGACGGGGTTGGGGTAGGTCATATATTTATATATACATAATACAGTAATATAACGTTAAGTCAAAGGCGTTGATAAACACGCTGAAAAGCGATTATGCGTGTTGATAGCACGCCAAAAATGGAAATACGAATTGGCGTGTCATACATACGCCATTTCATGAGATCAGTCTGACTAGAGAGAGCAACCTCTTATTCACAAAATAAGATTCCAAACACAGACATAAAGTGCAGCTTAGCTTTGCAGTGTCCAAAAGTGATGGTTTAAAGGAATTTGTTACTATACAGAATACTTGTGTTCTGGAATGTGAAAGTGTATATATATTTTTTGTGGGGTTGTTTTTTTCTGTTGTACTGCCTCACTACGCATGCACTATTCAAACTACTTATACTACAAAACAACATAGAATAGTGCTTAAAGGAATAGTTAATTTAAAAATAAAAATTCTGTCATCATTTACTCCTTCAAGTTGTTTCAAACCTATATGAATTTCTTTCTTCTACTGAAAACAAAGGAAGATATTTTAAAGAATTTCAGTAACCAAACAGTTGATGTAACCCATTGACTTTCATAGTATTTTTTTTCCTACTATGGAAGTCTATGGGTTCCATCAACTGTCTGGGTACCGACATTCTTCAAAATATCTTCCTTTCTGTTCAGCAGGGGGCTGTTCCATAAATGAAGCTTAGAAAAGCGGGGATTAAACTCCAAAACCGGACTTGAATGAGCCTAACAAATAAGTTGGGGCTAAAGTGGTTCCATAAAAGGTAATTGAAGTTCACGCAATCTCACTAATTTGATCCAGGTTTATCTAGTCTAGCTAATTGCGTGTGCACGCGTTTCTGAAGCAGCCCTAGAGGTCGATCGTGGATCAAATGGATCCACCATCAAACAGCGTATATTTTGTGCTGTTTTATGCGTTTGTGACATGTTTTTTTCCCCCCACAGTGCAAAAATTACATTTTACAGTTATATTCTCCATCTGTAAATGTTAGAAAGTCGTGCAAATGTATCCATTTTGCTGCTAATCTTTATGAACGAGCGCTGCTGCGCGCATGCGCGCCAAATAGGAGCGCAATAATTCTGACTAAAATATACATTTTTCTTGGAAAATTAATATGCGATATTTTATAACACTAGAAATATCTTCTAATTATAATAATTTCTCTTTAGGATGTTGGATATGTTGCAGTGAACTTCTAGCTCATTACACTCATATATTTTATACTTCTAATAAAAAAAAGAAATTGAACAGAAGTAGCCTAATTCAGGGAAGATTTTTTTTAAGAAACTAAATATATAAAGATACAAAATATAGTTTTGGGTATAGGACCTATGCTACTTTATAAAGATGAGATATACTTATTTAGAATGCTGAGAATTACAGCTTTTTATGCAATATTTTTTTTGAGAAAGCAAGAATCCCCAGTTTTAAATGAGTGGTTAGATTTAGTTTCTAAAGTACATTATGGAGAGGATAACATTAAATTAAGAACAAATGTATACATTTTGAAAAGATATGTGCAAAATCAAAAATCAAAGAATATTCCATAAAATAAAGGAATATATATTGGCCTACATTAACTACATTTTTATGTAACCTTCCCTTTTATTTCTAGTTATTTGTTATTTTATTTATTTACTTATTTAATATTGAATATTTGATATTTAAATAATATTACTTGAATAACTATTAGGAATTATGTGTCATTCATTATAAGAGTTTGATATATGTGAATGTTATATTTTTATTCATATTTATTTATTGTTTTATTTATATGTATGTGTTGGTATTATCACAAAAGAAAAAAAAGTAGAAGGAAAAATAAGGAATATTTATTGGGGGAAAATATGATGTCTTTAAAGGAACTGTCCATTTGTATAATTGTGTTAAATGTGTTTGAATTGAAAGACATAATAAAGTACATAATATATATATTATGAATATTACGAATCTCAATAAGATTCCCCCCTTCACTGTTGTGTGCTTTTTTCCTGCATCGTGGCTGATTTGTAGATTGTACACACAAATAAACTCTGTATTCTCATATTTTTGCCAATTTCCCATTCATTTCCTATGGCCGGTCATTTTTGACCCGAAGGTCCTGAGTGTGACTATTTTTTTTATGACCACTTAGACTTTTCAAATCCTGTCCCCAATTTTTTTGTGTGTTCGTATACCAAGTACCATAAAAGTCACCAAGTTTTGTACCATTCCGACGAAGCTACGATTTAAAAAAAAAAATTTATTTAAAAAAATCCGGTCAGAAATGACCGAAGTACATGGCTCCTAGCCCGCCTGAAGTCTACGATGATCTCCTTGGTCTTCTGGGTGTTTAGTTCCAGGTTGTTGGCAGCACACCACACTGGCAGGTACTCTACTTCATCCCTGTAGGCTGACTCATTGTCATCTTTGATCAGACCTACCACCATGGTGTCATCTGCGAACTGGATTATGGTGTTGGAGCCATAAACAGGATTGCAATCGTGGGTGAATAGGGAATACAAAAGAGGGCTCAGCACGTAGCCCTGTGGTACGCCGGTGTTCAAAGTGATGATGGAGGAGAAGAGGTTATCTAATTTAACAGATTGGGGTCTGTTAGTCAGAAAATCCAGAATCCAATTACAGAGGGAAGTGCTTATTCCAAGCTGTCTGAGCTTGAAAATCAGCTTGGAGGGTATCACAGTGTTAAATCCTGAACTGCAATCAATGAACAGCATTCTGACATGTGAGTTTTGACTGTCCAGGTGGGTTAGGGCAGAGTGGAGTGCCGTAGAGATGGCGTCCTCTGTTGACCTAATGCGGCTATTGGCAAATTGGTGTGGGTCCAGTGTAGCAGGGAGACAGGATTTGAGGTGAGATAGAACCAGTCTCTCGAAGCATTCGCCAATGATGGGGTGAGTGTGACAGGACGGTATTCATTAAGGGCCAAAGCAGTGGAGTGCTTCGGCACTGGCACAATGGGGGTGGTTTAAAACTAGTGGGGACAGCTGCCTGGCCCAGGGACAGATTGAAGATGTTTGTAAAGACCTCGGCCAACTGCTCCGCACAGGCTCTAAGCACACGCCCCGGTATTCCGGCAGGACCAGCTGCCTTCCGTGCATTCACCTTGCTGAGAGTAGAGCAAACATCTGAGGTAGAGAGTGTGAGAGGCAGTTTACCAGGTGGAAGATCCCCTTAAAGGGAGACCTCCATGTTACCTCAGTCAAAGTGAGCGTAAAATTGGTTAAGCTCGTTAGGGAGCGAGGCAGAACTGGATAGAGGCAAAGTGCTGGGTGGCTTATAATCTGTAATGGTCTGTGTGCCTTGCCACATACGCCAGGGGTCAGAGGAGTTGAATTGCTCTTCAATCCTCTGTTTGTAAGTGTGTTTAGCCTGGCAGATACTCCTCCTCAGGTTGGTTCTGGCTGAGCTGTAAGCCTCCCGGTCTCCAGACCTGAAGGCTGCATCTCTTACTTTGAGTAGGAGGCGAACCTCTCTGTTCATTCAGAGCTTCTGATTGGGGAAAGTTTCTATTTTTCACACCTGTTGATGTACTCCAGAACAGAGTTGGTGTAAGTGTCAATGTTAGTCTGAGAGTTTGTGGTGGCCTGGGCAGCAAACACACTCCAGTCTGTGTGCCTAAATTGATGCTGAAGTGTGGAGTCAGCACCCTCCAGCCAGATCTTGACGATCCTCGTTGTGGGTTTCACACGTTTAATGACCGGGATATACTTGGGGAGCAAGAACAAGGAGAGATGGTCAAACTGTCCTAGGTAGGGGAGGGGTGTGACCTTGTAGGCATCAGTCATGCTGGTATAGACATGGTCCAATGTTTTATGTCCCCTTGTGGTGCAAGAGACATTTTGAGAACAGATCTTAAAGTGCAGTGATTAAAATCCCCAGCGACAATAAAGGTCCCATCCGGATGCACGGTTTGGAACTTACTAATTGCAGCCCAAAGTTCTTTCATAGCCACTTTTGCATTAGCGTCCAGGGGTACATAAACTGCAGCAGCAACAATGCAGCAGCAACTCGTGTGGTACCTAGAACGGCCTACACTTATTAATCAGGAATTCCAGATCAACAGAGCAGTAGGTATCAATAATGACAGAGTCCGTGCACCATGTTTTGTTTACATAAATGCATACGCCACCACCCTTAGTTTTACCTGAAGCAACCGCTACTCTGTCTGAGACATCATTACAGAGCCATATCTCTGTGAAGAACGTGAGATTACAGTCCATAAGCCTTCTCTGTGAGATGGTCCAGATCTTTAGTTCGTCCAGATTGTTCGTCAGAGACCGTACATTTGCAAGGAAGATGCTAGGCAGAGCTGGCCAACGTGGGTTTAGCCTTAGCTTAGCACGCAGCCCTCCACGCTTTTCCCGCTTTTGTTTACGGTCTCGACTAAATCGAGCAAACACACAGGAAATAACCAGATAAATTGTCACTAGTTTCCAAAATCTGGTAAGACGCTGATCCTCGCAATGCACTCGCGCCGCCATTTGCTAAAGTAGTGCTTTAGTGCTATTCCTTTAAGTATGAAAATTGGGATGCACCTACTGTTTGCATATACCTAGAAATCAATGAGAAGTGCAGTAAACTGAATCCAACCTGTCGCAAAATGGTCTGTGACTTCTCTTAATGAAAAGCTACTTTTTTATTCAGTGTGAATTAAAAAATAAATAAATCCAAAACAAATGCAAAACATGTTGAAGATTAGCCGATAGGCTGTTGATTCATTAAATGATAAGCTGTTACCACAAAAAAGCAGTTTATTAGTGTAGTGAATCCTCTTATCCACTGACATCCATTCAAATACATTCTCTTGTCTCCTTTCCTGTGTATCACAGTGTTTTGTTTTGTTTTTTTTTGTGCAAAAGGCTTGTCTTAAAGGGTTAGTTCACCCAATGAAATTTCTGTCAATAATTACTCACCCTCATGTCGTTCCAAACCCGTAAGAACTTCAGTCATCTTCGGAACACAAATTAAGATATTTTTGATGAAATCTGAGTGGTTTGGAATGACATGAGGGTGAGTAATTAATGACAACTTTAATTTTTGGGTGAACCATCCTTTTAAAGTGGCTTTGGAATCAAATATGTGTAATAAAAATATATGTAAACTAATTTTTATCCATGAAAACAAACAACCCTAGCTCTGGCTGAATTCTTGTTATTCCGTTTCTAAAACGAAATGGGAAAAAAGTTTCATGTTTTTCTTTATTTATTTTTACATTGAAAATCAAATAATCAGAAAGTACACAAACCACTGTGGAACTGATGTGATTTTTAATACAAATTTGCTGACTTATATATATTTGAACTGTAGCCATACAGGCATTAAGCATGCTAACCACAGTATACTGAAAAGGTGCAAGGCTTCATTAAGAAGACAAATCATATCACAAAGCATTAAGCTGTTCACCAGCGCAATATCCTCAGGGCTGCAACTGCACCGAAAAATTTATGGTGTGATGTTTCAACGCATTCTCATCCTTTGGCGTCATATAGGTGACGCCTGACAAAACGTCGAAATACTACGCACATGGCACCCTTTAGCGTGAATATAACACGCGAAGTGATGGGTAGGTTTAGGTGTGGGGTAGGGTCTGCGTCTCATATTCACGCTAAAGGATGCCAGTCAACCTTATGACGCCTTGGGTTCGCGTGTTATATTCACGCTAAAGGGTGCCATGTGCGTAGTATTTCGACGTTTTGTCATATAGCGTCACCTATATGACGCCAAAGGATGAGAACGGGCTGGATGTTTCTTGATGTAGCTCTAGTGTCACTTTTGCTTCTCTTGGTGGTACCACTTTACTGGAGGGAAGGTGAATCTGCTCATCATTCTATTCTATTATGTTCTATTCTATTCTATTCTATTCTATTCTATTTTATTCTATTCTATTCTATTCTATTCTATTTTATTCTATTGAACGAGCAAGCTATTTCTAACAGAGACAATCTTTGTCAGAAACTGTCTCCTCATTTAACATTGTTGCGCATCGTCAAGAGCCTTTCAATGAGCAACTCTCATAGCAACATGAACATGGCCACTCTAAAATATGCAGTTGTGAAGACAGATTCCCCATGACATGGGGCCTTTCTTTAAAAGCCTCAACCCCAGCTCAGAGCACTCATCATGGGAGAGATCGAGGGAGATGTGGCATGTTTTCAAGTCGACAGAAAGCTCTTGCAGTTTTCAGACTAGAGAGAGAGAGAGAGAGAGAGAGAGAGAGAGAGAGAGAGAGAGAGAGAGAGAGAGAGAGAGAGAGAGAGAGAGAGAGAGAGAGAGAGAGAGAGAGAGAGAGAGAGAGAGAGAGAGAGAGAGAGAGAGAGAGATCTAGGATGGTATATAACTTCTATGTGATGATTTTAAGGCAACAGGCCAGATGTCTTCAGGGTCCTTCCCACATATAATGACATAATTTAGAACGACCATGCCAGGTAAATGCTAAAGCCAGACATGCTTCACATCAAATCCACTATTGACCTCATCCTGGCTACCGGCTGAAGTTATATTATCAAATGAGAAACACTGTTTGCTTTCCATACAAATCTGAACGAGGGGTGGGGGGAGTTACATAACAAGCTCTTGATGAGAGGAGGTCATACGAGATTACTCACAACTCTCCAGCTGCATTATGCACGTCTGCACATCCATGGGGAAATTCTTCAGATCCATTGGACAAGAGAGTGTCAGTGTCAATCTAAAAATTGAATGGAAAAAATAATTGATTTTATAAATTATACACACGCCCTTTGTTTTAATAAACAGTAGAAAACATGGTAAGAAAATGCAAATGCAATTCAATGTACATTTTCTGAATGTTTGTGAAAATCCACAGCTCAGACAAAGAAGGGAATCCAAGAGGAGGGCTTAGAGCATCCGAAGCTGCTTGAGTGGTGGAATTTCTGAACGGGTCCACTAAAGCAGAGGAGAGACGAGTCTGACAGCCGCAGATTGGCCATGTTTTAATTACACTCTTTCTCCCTCAGGGCACCACGTGAATTTCAGTCAGAGTGAATCCTCTGTCGTCTCACATCTGCTCAGCTTTCCGTCATATCTTCTCAAAAGCCTGACATAATTTACCACTCACTATTAACTCCAGCACTACCCATCAACCCTCATGCTGCCATAATAATGTTGTTTTCTTATAGCTTCACTGCAGTGATTGATGTTGAATGACATTGTTTATCATGCCATTTGTTTAGGGGTTAGTTACATTTTAGGGTTCAAAGGGAAATTATATTAAATGACTCAAGTCTGTGTCAGCTGAGATTTTTCATTACTATGGATTGTAGACTGACATTTTCAGAAGCTAGTGCAGCAGTTATTTCAAAGGCCATGGCCCTACCTACATAAAATTATTTGTGAATTGTCAGTCATTGTGAAACAGATCAACAATAATTTATTCTAATCGTAGGCTTTGCTGAAGAAATTACCTCTCTCTTGTCATGACTGGTAATTGAATTTATGAGTATGTATGTTTTTTTATTAATAAATGTAGATACAGTTTTTTTTTTCGGGGGGATGGGGGGGATGGGGGGGCGGGGGGAACACGCAGTGTTCAATTACATTTCAGTTAAACAAAGTAATTTGGGAAATTTCATTTATTGATTTAAAATGCTTTCCATCAAATGCTTGATGGGTCATCATGGTTATTTGTGACTGGTGCCGAAGAGTCTCACCTGATTGAATAGAGGACGTTTCCATTTTTGAATATTCTCAAGAGCTTGTTGTCAGTGGTGACCTCGTGGAAGTGCGCTCCCTTCTCGTTGGCGAAGAACAGATCAGGCTTCCAAATGGAGTCTAACATAGAGGGATCCAGGTCCAGGGAGTCATCTGGGTACTCGCTGTAAGCTAACCGAGGGTCATTCCACTGCTGCCGGAGGAATATGTTCACTCTGTAATCCTAAGAGACGAGTAAGTGCTTAACATCAGTCAAGGCAAATAGCACAGAAGAGTTGAAACAGGCCTCTCTGCAGGTTTTAAATCAGACATAATGGGTACTTTCATGTACAAGCATGCACAGCTGCTGGAAGTTAGGAATGGAAATGAGCATCATTACTTAAAAATTACGGTACAGTAAAATACTGTGTGAGACTTACACATTCAATTAACTGCTATTTGCATCTTCACAATGATATGTGTGACATGACTCTTCTGAAAATCATGAGCAAAATCATTCAAGTGTAAAACAAATACCACCCAGACTACATTAAATATGGGCTAAAAGTTAGAAAATCACCACGTTAGATAAATAATTAATGATTTTGTACTGTGATAAGGAGTGTAATATCATCAGAATGATGTTGTGACAGGCCATGGAGTTTAGCCAACTGTTACATTGCCAACAGTTATATTAGATAAAATATCTTAGCAGTTTAGCAAAGGTTATGCCTCCAAGAGGTTACTTCTCCAATCCAATCATTGGGCATGTCGGAACTCAAATATCAATCAGATCTATTCTGTCCTGCTGTATATGGTGTGAAAAGTGACAACAATTATTTGTTGAATATGTAAAAACATGTTAGAATATATTAAAACTATATATGTGCATGTCTGAGAAACAGGATATTTTTCTCTCTGTCAATTTGACGTAGAGACATATCACAGACATGCCATTACATTTGTCTTGAGACAGCCCACAGCCCATATTAAATTAAAGTTCTGAGGGGAAAATGTTATACAGTTTTATATATGCCATAATTTTCATGATATTTGCCTAGAGGCCTGGCGGAATTGCATGAGTAATGAAGAAAAAACCCTTAATGAACCTCAACAATAAGCTTGCAGACAGAGTTACAATAATTTGAAACTAATAAAAGCTGAAAGAAAATGTTAAAAACGCACCCAATTAGAGAGTGAAACTTCTGCTTTTTGACAACAATAGTTATTTTGTTCAGAATTTTAAGAATATGCTATAGTCAGACTGAATATGCCTGAAAGCGATAAGACGAGCAGTCACTAACAATGAATGGAAGGTGACGGCGCATGGGTGATATAATTTGTTAGGCAGCAAGGTGGATAGAGAACCGGGTAGTTTTCATATCTTATCTCTGAAACACTCAAAGAACTTCATTAGAAGGTCCGTGCATCTGAGTGCATGAGTGGTGGGATATTGAAAGGAGGTTCTGCTCATGTAGTTCCACATGGGAAATAGGTGCAACACAATTAGTGACTAGGCAAATCTCAACTGTGTCAGATCCGCAACTTGTCAGCAGTCATGCAAACGTCTCAAGGCTGAGGATGGAGCACACAAACAGGAAAGCATCAGTGTTCTGATCCACTTCCCAAAACATCTAATTGTAGTGGTTTGTCGACAGAAACATAGCTGATGCTCACAGATTACAGATCACCGAATTGGCCAACATCAACTGATGAAGCATGCCTTACTTTCATTATAGATGTCACACCACTTCTTTGTCAATCTCTTGCCCGCTTTGTCATCAACTTAGCGGCTAATTCTGTCCTCTGCACATTTCTTTACGGTTTGTGTGGAGGAGCTTCATTGAACCCGTGCAGCGCATCTGCGATTGCTCAACCCGCTGCAGGCCTTCAGTGGCTCCATGGCAATCTCCACACATCTGCTCTATGATTGCCTACTCAAGTGGGACTCAATGGCATTGAGGGGGGAATCTGCGCCCGTGCCAACACCCAGCGATTAATCACATCTCCCTATGTCTGCGGCTTCTGTAACAGTCAGATAGTCCTGTCAATACATTTACTGCTTTGGTGGTGACTATTGAAACACTCAACCAGCATAACTGTTGGCAACTCTAAGCCTGCATGTTGTAAGCATATGCCAAAAGTAGCAATGGCAAAAAATAAGAAAGTGGCACTTACAAGCAAAAATCAAGTTTTACATCAGTCCAGACGTGCAAAACATCTTCACGATGTGGAGATGGAATTGAAAACCTTATTTTGGTCAACCATCGTAACTCCACTTAATGAAGCTGTCGATAATCTTGAGATTATTGTTTTTATCAGCTGGTGAACAAAACGGCTCATCAGATCAGCACATGGACTGGCAGATGTGCCCAGATTCTGAAAAGCCAAAGGGTCATCTATCTATATGGAGACATGTTCAACAACAACCCCTTAATATGTTGTTCTGAAACAGCAACTACTTGAGGTTAGACCGTCATAACCTCATAATCGGACAATAAAGAAATAATAGATTAAAGCAGTGGATCATCTGATAATCCCTTAGACGTTTAGATGCTCCTGTCCTTTAATTTTCTTTCATTTTAGCGAACAATTTAAGTGGCATGAAGAAATATAAATGGTGTCACTTGTCATTATGAATATCAGCTGTCTGTGAACTGAGGATTGTCCAGAATAATGTTCTGTTATTGCAGTGTTTTTGTTCCTGGATGTTAGGATTATCCCATGGCCCTAATGCTGAAGGAAGGCGATCTCCAAGGGCCAGATGGCAGTGAATCTAAGAAGGGTTAATCCATATGTAACATATGGGGAAGAAGATAATTCCTTTCCATGACATTTCACCCTCTTCTTCACCCTTTCCTAGTAAAGCTTACACAAGGACAACCAATATGAAGGATGTTTAGTACTGCACATTGAAACTCTCCTGAAGATGTGTAATATACCAGAAAGTTTTGAACATATCCAGATATTTTCTTGATAGACCTCAACAATGTGTTTTAAGATAACCTTATATTAACATGAGTGTAGTTAACTGATTTGACCACTAACTTGAAACATTTGTGAACTGAATTTTTTTTTCAAAAGATGAAAAAGAAAAATCTTTAGAAATCTAGTTTAAGGGCGTCTTCACACCTGTATCGTTTGGAGGATTTGTTTCAGAACCCTGCATGGTTTCTCCTTTAGTTCGGTTAATTTAGGCAGATATGAAGAACATGGAAATCGTGTTTGGATTAGCACCAAAAAATCGATCTGAAATCGCCTGAATTAGATGGTCTCGGCCTGCTTGAAAACGAACTCTGGAGTTGTTCGCTTGTGGTGAGCTGCAACGCATTCTCATCCCAAGGCGTCATCTTATTCAAACTTTTGACCATGCTTCAAAATCTGAAGCACATGGCACCCTTTAGCGTCAGGTAGATGACGCTCATCCTCGGGCGTCATCTAACGCCTTTAGCGTAAGTTAGATGACGCTTCCGTTTTTAGCGTCAGTTACATGACGCTTCCGTTATGGGTAGGTTTAGGTCTGGGGTAGGGTTAGCGTCTCATATTGACGCTAAAGGGTGCCATGTGCGTCGGATGTTGACACATGGTCAAAAGCGTCAGTTAGATGACGCCTTGGGATGAGAACAGGCTGTGAGAAAGCATTCCGACCCAACGTACCAAAGACAAAGTGAAAATTTGAAACTGAAATTTGGTCGGACAAACATATTTAATGACAGCTACAAAAATAGCCACAATAAGTCCACAGAGCTATTATCTATCCATCCTAATGGAGCGGAATCTGTATGAGAAAAAAATTAGCTGTATGAGTTGCATTTTAAATGTATTTTTTAACAACTTAAGGAATCTGGACCCCACCCCCCCACACACACACTCCCAGTGAGCTCAGTTGTACCCTAGATCACATAGAACAGTTTGTTGATTTGAGTAAATGGCAAGAGACTTGTATCCGGCTTGAAGGAAGGAATATTTATGAAGAGAAGTCCACTCTGAGTGAGGGAAAGGCTTTGGAAAAAAAGCACATTCTCTTCAGACATAATTATTTCAGAGTGAGTGTGCCATCTCACAACGCATAACTTATTCAGAGCAAGCAGAGGGATGAAGGTGACAAGGCACTCTCAGTATATGTGTGTGTGTGATGAGCATGTGCATTCACAGACAGGAATGTTGGGACACTTGTGTAGATAAGATAAAAGCACATCTCCTTGTTCCTGTGTGTAGATCCGTCTTGTAATGGGGTGAAATCCCAAATGTGGCTGTCTGCAGAGTATGGCATGACCAAATATTCAAAAAGACCAAAAAAAAAAAAAAGATAAATAAAGCGCAACATACACAGAGTTCCATTGCTGAGCACACCTGGAGCCTGTTTCTATTCAACTGTGGTGGCATATAATGTACAAACAAGATCCCTGCAGGGATGAACTGCTCAAGTAAGTGCAATAACTCCTTTCTACTAAAGATATGGCTACCTGTATACAAGCAATCCAGACCCCAGTGCATCTAAAGGGTTGGATGGTTTCTTCTGCATGAACAGCTGTCTCTTCTCTACTCCTGATGTGATTCACCCCAGTGGTTGATGTTAACCCAAACTGCTGTCTCCAGCTCAACTTGTGAACCACTGGAGGTAACCTGCTCGCTCACTCACTCACTCACTCACTCACTTACTCACTCACTCACTCACTCACTCACTGTCTGTCATGCTGATAGTGTTCTTCTGATGTAGAAAAGTCTTGAAATATTAGTATCAAATCAGCAGATCAAAGCAGTGAAGACATTGTCATTATATATAATGGGCCCTATTTTAACGATCTGAAACGCAAGTGTCAAAGCGCAAAGCGCAAGTAACTTTGTGGGCGGATCCCGGCGCTGTTGCTATTTTCCCGGCGGGATAAATCCCTCTTGCGCCTGGCGCAAATCTAAAAGGGGTTGATCTGAAGTAGCTTCATTATTCATAGGTGTGGTTTGGGCGTAACGTGAAATAAACCAATCAGAGCGTCATCTCACATTCCCTTTAAGAGCAGGCGCGCTTGTTCTAAAGCGGATTCCTATTATAACGGCGGATTTGCCAGGCGCGCGCCAGGAGCGGTTCACAGCCGAGGAGAGCAACGTTCTCGTCAGGGCCGTAAAACACAGAGAAGTGACATTGGGGATGTAGAAACCCACCCAAATTAACTTCTGTTAAACAGGCGTATGATAATTTGGGTAAATGTGTAAGCTACATGTATGCTTTTATAATAAATTGCCTATCTATCTATCTATCTATCTATCTATCTATCTATCTATCTATCTATCTATCTATCTATCTATCTATCTATCTATCTATCTATCTATCTATCTATCTATCTATCTATCTATCGTAATAATGTATGATTTGCAAAAATGAAAACTGCTGCTTATATGAGAGAATCAAAGGGGCTACACCTGGCCACTTCATGAAAACTGCTGCTTATATGAGAGAATCAAAGGGGCTACACCTGGCCACTTCATGCGTTTTCCGTGATCGGATAGCTATCCGATCGTGAAAAGACCAGGTGTAAATGCCCTCTGAAACGCATTCGAGACGGATTTAAATCCGATCACTCAAACCACTTCAGGAGGTGGTCTGGGCCGCATTCCAGATGAAACTGGACAAGTGTAAATGCATCTGGTTGTTGAAACCACATATGTAAATTTCACTCCTCACAAAAATGCTAAAAAATAAACGTGTGAGAGCGTGTTATATAGGCTATATGTCATGTTATAGTCAGATATGACGTCGCTACTGCAACACGCATTACCGCAGATGAGCAGCTGAGCATCTATTCATCAAGCCAACGTGCAAACTATCGCAAATCAAAGTGAAAGTAAGTCGCAGACGCTTAACACACTAATCATCTTCATTAAAAGTAAAGAAACGAAATGATCTTACCAGGGCTGTTGCCGCTCCCTCTTATTGCGGTCTTTGATTTTGAAATTAGCTGATGATCAATAAAATGCAGCTCATATCTGTTGCTTTCGGTGACGTGCACTCCATTAAATCTGCATATAGCGCGGGAATTGAAGATCGGATTTATATCCGTTTTGCAAAAACACATTTATGTGACCAGGTGTAAATGGAATCGTTTTGATAAATCAGATAGCTATCCGATCTGAGAAAACGCATGAAGTGGCCAGGTGTAAACAGCCCCAAAGTGTATGCGCGTTGTGCACACGCTACATTGATTATGGCCAAGCATGCGCCCTTAAAATAGCATAATGAACAACGCGCAACGCGCCACTGACTTTAGACTATTTTTTTCTGGTCAGTGGCGCATTTGTTACATAGAACAGCAAAATAGCATGAGGGAAAGTTTGCGCCGGAACACGCCTCCTTTTTGCGCTGAACCGCCCCGGGGAGCGCAAGTGTATTTCTTAGTTAACCGACGTGTGTCTGTGGAGGAAAAAGCCCGCTTTGCGTGGGTGCAAAATAGGAATGATACATGCGTCAGTGTACAAAGTCATTTGCGCCGAGTGCAAGATAGGGCCCAATGTCTTCACTGCTTCGTAATATATGAAAAACGTTTGTCTGCCAAAGGTAGGTTAATTCAGGTTGTGAAATTTCATCATGCTCAAAAACGATTTAAGGAATTAAAAGGGTCCTTGATTATGATTTCACTTTTTTAACTTTAGTTAGTTTGAGTATAAACAACATCTGCAAAGTTACAACGCTCAAAGTTCAATGCAAAGGGAGATATTTTATTTTACAACAAACGGCTGGTAGGGACTACAACGAGCTTCTTCTCTGGTTGGTGACATCACAAACCCTAAAGTTCAGTAGCCCTGCCCACTGATTCGAGCATGACAAGTAGTAGTAGGTAAAAAACAGACGTGATGCTAACAATGGATCGTGCAACTAAGCGATAAACATGCCTTTGAAGAGTGCAAACTATTGTGCAGTGCCATGTTGTGGGAAAACACTGCATTGGATTTGCAGACATCCTGAAATAAAAAAAAAACATGCTGTGCCTTCTATATTGGATCCGACAGGAACGGCGCAACACACTTAAGTGAGTAAAGTTTTTACTATTGCTTTGTTACAGATCATTTGATATGTATGGGTTATGTGTTCTGTACGATTGTGTCTAACCAAAATCACCAGTGACTTCTGATATGTAATGATTCATGTAGGCATGCAGTCAGATGTTTTTCTCTCAAAATCGTTTATTGTCAGTAAATCAAACTTCACATTTTTTCTCTTAGTAGGATGAAAATAACTTATTTAATCTCAGAAAGCGATCAAAGAGCGCTTCCTTTCACAATTGCTGGAGCTGTCAATCAAACAGCGTGATGGACTCTTGCCAAAACTAAATATGATGCTATAGATCTAAATATAATGCTATAATCAACAATTTTCACGATTAGTAAACCTTGAGAACTGTAATAGTAAACATGTGTTAAAAGTTTTCAAGAGAGTTCCACATGTAACGGCCACTGGTGTTGCTAATAACAAGGGTTTCTGAATTCTACATATAGCCACTTTAAGGGGAGGATTTCAAGGGCTGAGACAAAAGACAATGGGTCTAAATTACTTCCTAGGAGCCTGGTGACGGAAGCAAGATTGTGTGCCCTCTGACATTCAGCCACTGGACACTTCCTAACAGTGTCCTACAGTCTTTCTCACAATCTGGATTTAGATGTAATACGACATGCACGCAAGCACGAAACATTTCCTCCATACGAACGAAACACACTCTTTTTTTTGTGTGCTATAATGTTTCTGAACTGCACATTTTAATGACAGACTATTAGTGCATTAATTACACCCTGTAGAAACAATCATCACAGTGCTAATATAATTGCTATGATTTATAATGTGTAAACACCACCATGGGGCATTTGTGCATGAAAATTCATGCATGATCGCCGGATTGTGAATACATACCATAGTTGTCTCTGCAATGGAGCCGAAACTGTTAATGAATATGTTGCATGATACATTCACAGGCGGACCTGTAAAAAAGTAAAGTGAAATCAGTCATGATACACCACAACCTCTACAAAGACTTCTAAAAGTGTCATTGGTTAACCAAGGTTCTTATATTATGCGAGTATTTAATACTTCAATTAATATAACTGTTTATACTTTAGTTTTTTTCAATTTCTTATTAAATGGTATTATCCAGTTTTATCTCTTTTGCATATTATTTGCACCAGAGAATAATTGTTAATTCAAGATCAAGAAAAAACAAGAGAAGAAAACATTTGGTTCCACTTTATGTACTGACAATTAAATGAATCATGTTTTTACGTTGTACTTATATTTAACAAATCCCTGCATGTACAGATGCAATTATTTCTGTAATTACATCTATAATTACACAGTTGATATCTTGTTGTGTACAATGAACTCAGGGGATACATTTATTGCTTTATTATGCATCTGTTTGAAACACAGCGAAGTCACAGCGAAGTCATGTTCCTGTCATTGAGTGATGCCTCTCTCTTTTTTTTTTTTTGAACTTTTTAAACTCCCTTTTCTTGACATTTATGAATTAGTGGCTTCTGTAAATGAGCTTCTGAGGGGAAGTCTTTTGCCACTTTAATAATTTAAGAAAGTTCAGGCTATTTTTGGTTTGAGATGGTTTGGGTTCAGGGCCATTCTGTAACAGCATGGAAGAATGTATTCAGGGTCACAGCAGAAACATATAGAAGCAATGGGAACCAGGAGCTGCGCAGTATTATTACATAATCATTTCATAGCATGAAACGGAATATAGTCACATCTGCTTCAGCTTTGTACCACATTAAAGATAAATCTCATATAGGCACCAATGATCATTATAACTAATGGTTTTAAAGATATTAAATCAAAAACAGGAAATGGTGGCAAAAAATACTACAGATACCAAAATATATTCCTTTGAAGGAGAACATGAGCAACTACCTTTAAAGTTGGGCCTTATTCTGGCATCATAACCTGAGATTCTTCCCATGAGCTTGTCAAGGAAGACAGAGGGTGACATGGATTCCGCTTTTCTTCGAGGGTTTTCTTGTTCTTTTGATGTTACCAAACTTAAAGAGGGAGAGAGAGAGGGAGAGAGAAAGGGAGAGAGAAAGGGAGAGAGAAAGGGTGAGAGAGACAGATATTTTAGCAGATCAGCCACGACAGTCAACAAGGCTACAAATTTAAGGGGCTATACTAATGTCATCTGACATAAAATAGTCAGGTTTTGCATTTGGGGGATTAGACAAGGCTGTATAATAAGCAGCTTTTATTCACTTCAAGATATGAAGGCTAAAAACACAGATACATATCTTTCCATTCAAATTGGTATATAACAAATTTACCATCTTGAGCAATGGATTTAGCAATGTATGCAGATGCCTGTGGATAAGATTTGTTATTGCACTGCATTAATGTCACCACAATACCCAGCTGAAAAAAAGAGATATTATAAGAGTAATATGTTGCATAACAATAATAATAGCATTCAGCTTAATTTCATTTTGAAATACATGACATATGCTTCTCTGAGACTTATTGCATATGACCATACATGGCTAATATGCAACATAAACAGCTGGTGTACAAGTAATGCTGCCAAACTCCCTAGACAGAACTCTGTATTGTGATGCACAATGGAAAATTGTGCTGCCATATTTCCTTTTAGTAATGACTGAAAGAGAATAATTTTGTCAGGTATTATTTATCTTGATACTGATAAGGGGTAAAAGGAAGTTATATTGGCAGCTGCAGAAAAGGGGATAATTTATGTCTTGATTATAACCCCAGTGTTGAAAGGTGCTATTCTTAGTGATTGGCTTTTATATGTGTATGCTGGAATTTTGCAGTTGCACCCCTCTGTTTCTCAAAGCGAAATTCACATACAGCAAGCAGTGATAGGCCGTGGTTAGAAGTAAGGAAACCAAACAAATGCTTGCCAGTGAATCTCATTGTTACATGTGTCCTGAGTTTCCCCCCGTCATTGTGTATTTGGTTTATTCCTGTGTCTCAGTTTTCCCTCTCCTCGTTAGTTCTCAGTTCCTTCACCTGTGTCTAGTTAATTTGCCCCAGCTGTGTCTTGTTCCCCTATCTGTTCTCTGTGTATAAACCCTGTGTTCTCCCTCACTCCTGGTTGGTTCTCGTTTATGTAAAGTGTGTGTTGTGTTATCCTGCCTGTATACCCGTTCAGTAAGTCATTGAAAGTAAAAGTACTTTGTATTGGAACCTTTGTGCCTCACCTTCTTCTTCTGCCAACACCATCCGTAACAGAAGAACCGACCACCCTAAAATGGACGATAGGTTAAGAATGGTCGTCCTGGCCGAGGAGAGCCAAAATCTCCCAGCCTATACCCATGGACGTTCGTTTGAGGGAACCCGTCTGGCCAGATTTCGTGGGATCCGTGGAGGCCGCAGTAGTGGCGGTGGTCGAGAGGAGTCCCCACACCACTCTCCACTCTGGCTCCTCTTCGATCCAGGGCTGGTTCCGCTCAGCTCAAAGCCCTCTTCACAGCTGGTTCCGGCCAGCTCAAAGCCCATTTCACCACTGGTTCCGCCCTCTCGAAGCCCTCTGGAACCTTTGTGCCTTACTTTCTTCTTCTGCCAACACCATCCGTAACACTCATTTTGAAGCCACGTCCAGCCAGAGCTTCACGTCAGCCACGTCCAGCCAGAGCTTCACGTCACGCCTGCTGAGCCAGAGCTTCATGTCACGCCTGCCGAGCCAGAATTTCAAGTCAGCCCTACAGAGCCTTCTCCGCTGCTCCCGTCCAGTCCTCCCGAGCCTTCTCCGCTTGTCCCGTCCAGTCTTTCCAAGCCTGTCCTGGAGCACGTCCCTGAGCCTGGCAATCCCCCCAAGACATTTTTTTGGGGGGGATATAGGCCACCCGAAGGTGCGTCTCCGTCATGGCCGCCCGAAGGTGCGTCTCCGCCATGGCCGCCCGAAGGTGCGTCTCCGCCATGGCCGCCCGAAGGTGCGTCTCTGCCATGGCCGCCCGAAGGGGATTCTCCGCCATGGCCGCCTGAAGGGGATTCTCCGTCATGGCCGCCCGAAGGGGATTCTCCGCCATGGCCGCCCGAAGGGGATTCTCCGCCATGGCCGCCCGAGGGGTGGTCTCCTACTCCGCCATGGCCCCCTGACCAGCCTGCTCCGCCCAGGAGGCTTCCTGCTCAGGGTAGGCCACGCCCTCGTCAGCCTCCAGGGCGCCCGCCCCCCCACCACTATTGAAGTTATACAGCGCGAGGACGCGCCTTTTTGGAGGGGGCGTTATGTTACATGTGTCCTGAGTTTCCCCCCGTCATTGTGTATTTGGTTTATTCCTGTGTCTCAGTTTTCCCTCTCCTCGTTAGTTCTCAGTTCCTTCACCTGTGTCTAGTTAATTTGCCCCAGCTGTGTCTTGTTCCCCATCTGTTCTCTGTGTATGTAAACCCTGTGTTCTCCCTCACTCCTGGTCGGTTCTCGTTTATGTAAAGTGTGTGTTGTGTTATCCTGCCTGTATACCCGTTCAGTAAGTCATTGAAAGTAAAAGTACTTTATATTGGAACCTTTGTGCCTCACCTTCTTCTGCCAACACCATCCGTAACACTCATTTTGAAGAGTGGGAAGGACATGTTATTGATCGATTTGGCTTAATGAAAACAAGGTATATTTTCAGGAATTTGTGGACTTGACATTTCATTGATTTTTGTTCCCCCTAAATTAATCAGGTGAGATAAACTCACTGGGGAGCAGGAAAAAGCTGTGGACAAATATCCGTGAGGAACATAAATGCTTTTAAACATTTAAACCTTCTTGTTGCATAAGTGTAGCGTCTGGACCAATCAGACACACAAAATATTAATTATAATTAATGAATAATCCAGGAAACTCACTCTTCCAACAAAGTTCTGTGAAACTTCTCCCCAAAACTAACATCCCAAATGAAGCCTACCCACTGGCAGAACCAGGTGTCCTGTTATAGGACACATTAAGACTGAGTTTTACGACCCGAAAGGAATGTGCAGGGAATTGTGACTTAATTCTTGCTGAGAAGGATACATGAACCCTTTTAATCCTATATATATATATATATAGACTAAACTATTTTGGTCTGAAACATGACTTGCATACTATGGTTAACTGAAATCATGTGTAGCATGTTTAGTCTCTATAAACTCCCACCTTCGTCCCCCATTTGTTAATTTACATTACATTTTGCCAACTTTATGACGCATTAGTATTATAAGAATATTGTAGATTCTTTTCGTAAACACCCAATGAAATTACACATTCAAATGCCCTGTTAGAACACAAAGGGTCATAAAAACTCCCTCCATAGGGACCGCTTCGTATTGGCTCACGCACCTTCAGAGGGTGTGACATCTTCACGCTTTAAAAATCACTGATTACAAGATTAGCTCTCTTAGTGCTCTCTTATCCTCTTGCTCTCTTACTCTCCTGGTCCTTCCTGAGAAGTCCTAATGTGAAGATGATGCTGAACTAGAAGTCCCCCAAGGACCCCCAAGCTTGTGCCAGGCTGCGGCCTTGTCTTTCCATTCACCAAAGATCCTCTGACTCCCACTGGTTCTCTCTCAAGTCCACATCAGCAAAGATCAACTGGAGCCTCAACAAATTGCATCAGGACAGTTTAATTCAAATGGGCGAAACATGCAAGTATCAAACTTAGTCTCATTATTTGATACATTAAGTATCCTTACCCCTTTTTAAGAAGGGCCTGTTAGAACTAAACTGATGGTTTGCTCAGGCTGTTGATCTGCTGAACTTCAAACAATGCTATAACTTCTTGCTTTCCTGTATTCTACTTTAGCTCTCTTTCCCTTGGTAAACTGTATGCATGTATGTATGTGTATGTTAGAGTAGTTTAAACGTTTAGTCTAGTTAATAAAGTCTTGTTCATATCACACGTAAAGTTGTCCGTGTCTCAAGCTCATATCTGGAGTCACTAATCATAGATCTTGACTACTTGCTCTTAGTAGTACTTAGTAAGAAAGACATTTCCCATGCCCCGGAAATGTACATTTCTATGAATCAATTAATACCCAATATTAAGTGTTCACGGGATGAACCGAGTAATTGGTTGTAATGTTAATGTAGCTACATCAAGTTAACCCGATTAACTGATCCAAATATTCATAATCAATTATAACAAGTTATGATTGATATTAATATTTCATAGAGCTAATTTGCTACATAAGCATGATGCACTCTTTATTAAATCACAAATTAAATACTTAAAATTTTCTTTTTCATACTGGTCTTTTTCATACTTTGTACAAAATATGTATTTTGTGAAAGTTACAGATCTGTCCACTGTAGTGGACACAATACATCTAAGGTGGTGAGAGAAGCATAAGATTGTTAAAAATTCTCTAAATGTTGAATGTAATATCAATGTTTATATCTTCAAGTATGTTCCCCTCACTCCCTGAACTCTTCCCTGACAAGCTTAAGCAAATCCAGTCAGTTTTGCTGGTATAATAATCCAGGATAATTTATTAGTCATGCAAACCCCTTTGACACAATCATTATTATCATATGGAAATGAGGACACTGGTGATCTTTTGCTAAATATGAGGAAATCTGGAATTAAATGAGTAAATTCAACACTAATCTGTTACTGTATTGTATTATAGTTATAGTTAATGTAGAATACAGCAGTATGAAATACAGAAATAGCATCTGATAGCAATATTAATCACAAAAATCAATAATTTGTCAACAGGCTGGCAAAAAAATGTATGTTAAAATACATTTTACAATTTTGAGTGAAAAAATATAAGAAATATGATGAAAATTATGAATAACATTTATAAATGAAAATGTCAAATATAAATAAACTAATAAATCGAAAATAAATAAAACACAAGTAACATTCAGTGTGTGCACAACTGTGCATGAACCATGACCTGGCTTCATGTGTAATCTGTGACATGATTAATGTATTAAGCAATGTGACAAGATTGTATCAGAAATGCTTATTTCTGGCTACTGAAGCACCTCGTTAAGTTTCTGATGAACATAGGTCAAAGGCCAGACAGTAAGATTAGGATTAAAAGCTTTTGACTCAAAATT